AGATAGCTTATTTTAGATCTTAGAAACCCTATAAATTGATTCGTTTTCTTTGTAAAAAGAAGGGGTAGAGAGCAAGAGAAGGAGACAGAAAGCAAAGTGTACAGTGTAATAGAAAAGAGTTTTTTCAGAATTTCTTTTGTCTCCTTGTCTCTCCCCTCTCGACACCTCCTTCACAGCCTCGTGAGAGTTATTTAAACAAGTTGATTTCAGAGCGAGCGTCTATTTTCTACAAGTTGGTATTAGAACGGATTGTTATTTCAACACATTGGTATCAGAGCAAATTTTATTTCAACACTCTTTAGGGGCCATTATTGAACGATTCAACTGTTCGTGAACTTTCAAGTTTGTATCTAGGAGAACGTTCAAGTTCATATATTTTAAGTGTTAAGTAATGGATTGTGAAATCTCATATCCGTTGGAGAGGGAAATGAAGCATTCTGTATAAAGGTGTGGAAACCTCTCCCTAGTAGATGCGTTTTAAAACAGTGAGGCTGATGGTGAGATATGTAACGGACCAAAGCGGATAAAATCTTCTAGCAGTGAGCTTGAGCTGTTACAAATGGTATCAAAGCCAGACATTGGGCGGTGTACCAACGAGAATGCTGGACTCCCAAGGGAGTGGATTGTGAGATCTCACCTTGATTGGAAAGGAAAACAAAGCATATCTTATAAGAGTGTGAAAACTTCTTCCTTGCATACGTGTTTTAAAACTGTGAGGCTAACGACGATACGTAACGAGCCAAAGCTGACAATATCTATTAGCAGTATGCTTTAGCTATTCAATGGACGTTTTCAACACTAACATCAATCCAAGTTCATAAATTCATCTTCAGTGGCATACATGTCAGGATGATTTTTCATATCCTGTTTATAGTGTTTCATCATCATTATGTGTTGTTTATATATTGTTTGGACGGCCAAGATCAGCATAGTACTTACTGATCCATCTTTTAATGATGTTAACCTCTGTCTCTCTTTGTTCCACCAACCACTGTGGATCCGTTTCATTTGCTCGTAAAATGTCCAAACAATGAGATCCTGGAAAGTTCAAAACATGTCAGCTCAAAAGAACAAACCTTTGAAGTTAGAATTTATGAGTCTGAATCAAACCATGCAAGGAGACTGTCAGATAAGTTGTGCAATACTCTGCATCCACAAAAAGAGAAAGAGTTGAAGTAAAGTTGATTGTTCTTTATGTGTAATAAATGTTGGAGCTTTGGATTTCGTTTACTCGCCGCTGCTATAAGGGTCTCTGAATCCATTAGAGAAAATGATGTTGCCGCCAAATCTCTTAAGGATGAGATTTATGTCCTGAAATTTGAAGGGAGACAAAGAAAATGTGACTCTACGTCGGTTGGGGAGAAGAACGAACTATTCTTTATGAGGGTGTGGAAACCTCTCCCTAGTAGACACGTTTTAGAAACCTTACAGGGAAGCTTGAAAGGAAAAGCTCAAAGAGGATAATATATGTTAGCGGTGGGGTCGGACTGCTACAAATTCTATCAGAGCCAAACACTGGGCGATGTGCCAGTGAGGAGGCTGATCCCTGAAGGGGGTGGACACGAGGCGGTGTGCCAACAAGGACACTGGGTCCCGAGGGGGGCGGATTGTGAGATCCTATATCAGTTGATGAGGAGAAAAAAAAAACATTGTTTATAAGGCCGTAGAAACCTCTCTAATAAAAAAACCTTGAGGTGAAACCCAAAGAGGATGATATCATCTAGTGGTGGGTCCCGAAGGGGTGGATACGAGGCGGTGTGCCAGTAAGGACACTGGGTCTCGAGGGGGTAGATTGTGAGATCCACTAACAGAATGGTCGGATGAACCCCGAAGGGAGTGGACACGAGGCGGTGTGCTAGCAAGGATGCTGGGTCTCGAGGGGGTAGATTGAGGGATCTCACATCGATTGGAGAAGGGAACGAGTGCAAGTGAGGATGTTGGGCCTTGAGGGTGGAGTGGATTGTGGAGTCCCACCTCGATTGAAGAAGGGAACGAGTGCCAATGAGGATGTTGGCCCCAGAGGAGGGGACATTAGTTGGGAGAGGAAAACAAAACATTTTTTATAATAGTGTAGTTTTAAAAACTACAGTAGGTTTGGACAGTTCAATAAAGAAAAAGAGAGAGGTCGTTGAAGTGCATACATGGCCTCCATAATAGTTGGTGACCCAGTGAGGCCTTGGAGACACCGTATAACTCATTGCAGTAATCTATGAAGCTTCCAAGCTCAAAACTGTATGCTGGAAACATAGTATCATTGCCTGTGCTTAATGGCATCACCATTTCACTACATCTCTGAGTTACACACACAACACAAAAGCTTATTAAAACGTCAAAAAAAAAAAAAAATGAAGCTTTTCGATGTTCAATGCATCCCACATCGGTATTCGTATAATACAAAGATTACCTGCCACCTCCATCCCACATCAGTTTCAGTTTCATCTCTGGGCTGATTCATGTAGCCGGATAGATTTCCTTTATAAGCAAACACCGCTGCAGCAATTCTGTCAACAATTCCACTTCCTGATCAAGCTCCATCAATGGCATCACAGATTCTAGTGACTGGATAACTTGGTGGGTGGTCGTATTGGGCTGCGACGGTATACATAGACCACAAGAAGTCTTCCAGCTGAGAGGAGTTCTTCAGAGGACAAAAACAAAAACAACTGATTTGAAGCACAAATTTCATTAAATTTGGATATAAGAAGCCATGAATTCTAATACCTGCAACTTTTGAACTCTTTGCTGAGAATGGAAAGGCCATCAGGCTTGGAAGCAATTGTTTCAATCTTGGACCAGGAATCCCGAATGGTTTCATAGCAACTTTCACTAACGTCCTACAAATTCATTCACATTTTTGTGTTTAAAAAGTTCAAAAGGATGCATTGTTGTTGAAGGATCTTACTCTGAAATCCTTAGTGGCAATGGAATAGTATGCATTATGTGGCGTGATATTGTCGAAGTAAAGGATTGGAGCTGAAGAAGCAAGAGCTCCAAGGGCGACATGAGGATATTTCAGACGAAACCATGCAGCCAACACTGTTTCCAACAAAACAAAACAAAAAAAACATGTTCTGTTATATAGAGTTGGACGATTTTTGTAACTGCTAGTAGATATTGTTCGCTTCGCACGTTACGTATCGTCGTTAACCTCACAGTACTAAAACACGTTTGCTAGAGAGAGGCTTCCACACCCTTATAGGAAATGTTTCGTTCCCCTCTCCAACTGATGTGGGATCTTACAATCCACCACTCTTGGTGGCTCAGCGTTCTCGCTAACACACTACCTAGTGTATGACTCTGATACCGTTTGCAACAGCTCAAGGCCACCACTAGCAGATATTGTCTGTTTTGGCCCGTTACGTATCGCCGTTAGCCTCACAAACGCGTCTGCTAGGAGAGGCTTCCACCCTTACAAGAAATGTTTCGTTCCCCTTTCCAACCGATGTGGGATCTCACAATCCACCCCCTTGGAGGCCCAGGATCCTTGCTGGCACACTACCTGGTGTTCTAACTCTGATACCATTTACAACAGCTCGAGGCCACCGCTAGCAGATATTGTCCGCTTTGGCCCGTTACATATCGTCGTTAGCCTCACGGTTTTAAAACGTGTTTGCTAGGGAGAGGTTTCCTCACCCTTATAAGAAAAGTTTTGTTCCCCTCTCGACCCGATGTGGGATCTCACAATCCACCCCTCTTGGAGGCCTAGTGTCCTCGTTAGCACGCTACTCAGTATCTAGCTCTAATACCATTTGTAACAACCCAAGGTCATCGCTAGTACATATTGTCCGTTTTGGCCCGTTACGCATCGTCATCAGCCTTACAGTTTTAAAACACATATACTAGCGATTCGTTTCCACACCCTGCCCAAAAAGGACAGTATCTGCTAGCGGTGGATCTAGGTCGTTACAAATGGTATCAGAGTCAGTCACCGGATGATGTGCCGGTCTTCTCGTTGTTCCCCGAAGGGGGGTAGACACGAGGCGGTGTGCCAAATTCAGCCTAGACTACGAAATGGAAAAAAAACAAACGACTATCCTATGCATGTGCCACAGTCCCAAGGTGTATGATGCTTCCATCGTTGTCACATGGGTGCCTTGCCCTTATCTGCAAAAGTAATGTAGCACGAAACTTGATTTGGGGTGCAAGATGAAATTAACTAAAAGGGAACTACCTCTGTTTTTTTTTTCTTTTCCTTGTCCAAATTAATTAGTTTTCCTATCACTAAGATATGTAACTAATTTTTTTTTGTAAGATGCAAACAAAATCCCACATTGAAGAGATCTATGGTATATATATGATACCAAATAATTCAAGCTATCTTAAACTACATCTAGATAGGTTACAAACTTTAGGTTAGCTTATTCGAATATTAATTCTCGAATTTAAGGAGGTTTTATTGTATTTTTTAGTTTTAGAGAATTTTTCTTAAAATTTTAAATTACAATTAACTAGTGATTAGCTAGTTTGAACTTAGGTTAAGCCATAAACTAGTTTCTTTCTATTCTTGTGTTTAGATAATTCAAATTAGAAACAACTTTTTTTTACGGTTGATTTTGATCATCAAATTTTTCTTAATAGTTTTGGGTTTTTTTTAGATATTTAAAATCTAAAAATTTTATTCATAGCTTTTAAATCAAATTTTCAAGAGTTTTATATGAATTTATGTAATAACCCATCTTCCTAAGATGTCTATCTATTGTTATTGCTAAAAGGTACTATTTAGAACAAGGTAATCTTCATTGGTATGAATTTTTCAAGGGGGCTCCAGGAGGACATATGTCGAAAGTGAACTATATATGCTATTGTAGAAATACGTATATTATCTATAATTCTTATCGATCGTTATCATAGTCATAGTTAGCTCCATCCATGATATGCTGAGACTTTGAATAGAATGAACGAGATTTCTGAGTTAGTCCCTACATTGGACTAAAAAAAAAAAAAAAAAAAAAAAAAAGTGCTTGAGATACCATAAATAAATAGATCTTTGATATAAAGAGCAAGAAGGCGTGTGGGGCCATTTTCATTTGCGTAATCAATACGCAAAAGCTAAGAGGTCCTCCTTCCCCTTTATTTTCATCCACAAATCTGTAGATAATGGTTCAAGGATCCTTATAAAACAGGCATATTGACAGAACCATGTGTAGACTTTCATCTATCTTTCTGGAATAGTCTAAAGCAACCCTCATGGCCTCGACCTTGAGCGAATCCTCGAGAATATCCACAAACCCTTCAAGGATTGTGTTGATAACTGGCGTGAGCAAAGGTTTGGGGAGAGCCTTAGCCTTGGAGTTAGCTAACCGTGGTCACACTATAATTGGCTGTTCACGTGACCAACCTAAACTTGATTCCCTTCGTCAGCAACTTTCTTCCAATAACCACTTGCTCTTCAATGCTAACGTGGTAAGCAAATTCTCTAACCCCACGCCCTAAGTTCTTAGAAAAGTGACTCAAAAGGCTTGTTTTGTAGAGATCAAACAATAACGTTAAAGAGCTAGCAAGAGCGGTTGTCCAAAACAAATGCGTTCCCGATATCATTGGTATTCCGCTCCCCTTTTTCATATAATTTCTTACTTGAACCAAAATTTGAGAAACTAAGGACTTTTTTCTTGATTATGACAGTGAATAATGCAGGTGTTGTTAATAGAATTGGGAATGCATGGGAGATTGATGTCGAAGATTTTGATAATGTTATAGATACCAATGTCAAAGGAATAGCAAACGTTTTGCGCCATTTCATTCCTCTTATGATTCCAAACAAGCATGGAATAATCATCAACATGTCTTCAATCGCGGGAAGAACTGGAATTACACATGTATGTCATTTATATTTAAAGTTTTATGGAAAGATTATTAGTCACTTAGTAAAACAATTATCAAAAGTAAGATTAGAAAAATGGGTATTGATTTATGGAAGAATGGTCGGTAGTTTTTAGATTGGGGAGAAAGTTCAGGAAAATAGTTAATAATTTATTTTGAGGAGATTTATTAGTAGTTTTAACTCTAGGAAAGTTTAATAAATTTGTTAGTATTACTCAGCTGATGATCCTGCTCGGTTCACAACAACTAATAAAATTGAAAAGCTTAGTGTTAAGGTTCTTTGTTCCAAGAAACTCTCCCTCAGGTTGTTTTTTGTTTTTTCTTTGTTATTTGTTTTGGTATATTTCAATTGTGGGTCATATCCAATATTTGGTATTAGAGCTAGAATGCCGAAACAAATGTTGTTATGATACAAAGTCGCCAGAGGAGATATGATGATGATAAAAAGCAGAAAGTAGGAGGATGTAATGCTCCTATACCCGTTACTCACGAAGAGTAACTACACAACATGGTAGATAAAGATGTGTGTTAACTTACAGGCACAAGGCGTGTGGGATAGGAAGACTCTTGCCGCCATCTACCAAGTAGTCCTGGAGGATATCTTTCTCATGTTGGTAGGAAGGACTCGTCAAAGGCACCGTGGGAGACGCTGCAAACAATGCACGTGGGAGTGAAACGTGTCAAGGAAACAAAGGTGCAAACCTTGAAAATTGAGTTCGAGACTATCCGCATGAAGGACGGTGAATCAACAGACCCCTTTGCTATGAAGTTGTCGACGATCGTCAGTGGCATCCATTCCTTATGCGACAAGGTGGAGGAGATCTCCATCGTCAAGAAGTTCCTTCAACTATTCCATCGAGATTCATTCAGATTGTTACCTACATCGAGTAGTTCAACGACCTCAAGAACATGACGGTTGAGGAGGTCGTTAATCATCTTAAGGTCCACGAGGAGAGATTTCATTGTTACGAAAACAAAGAGGAGGAGAAATGCCTCTTACTCACACATGAGAAGTCGCTCGCACGGAAGAAGAAGAAAGATGCAACTCACTCTTCTTTTTCAGGTACAAGGGGACATGACAGTCATAATAAGGAAAATAAAGGTCATGGACGTGGCCGCAGACATGGCCATAGACGTGGTAGCAAAGGAGGTCATGACAATACCTCACAAATCCATGACAATGCAAACCTTAGAAAGACAAGAGTATGATCAAGTGTTACTCTTGTGGAAAATACGAGCATTATGCGAAGTGCCGCAACAAGGAGCACGATGAGGAGGCAAACCTCACATTTACGGATGATGAAGAGCCCACATTAATGTTGCCCAAGACAATGCCCAACCTGTTGATGCTCAATAAAGAGAAGGTTATGGCAAACCTTCTCGCAGATGAAGAAAACCAAATGGAGACTAACATGTGGTTGCTAGACAATGGAGTGAGCAACTACATGACCGAGATAGAGCAAAGTTCAAAGAGCTTGATGATAAATTTATTGGAAACATGAACCTTTGCGATGCATCAATTGTACGGATCTAAGGCAAAGATTCCATCTTGCTCCAATATAAGAATGACGATCAACGTCTGTTGGCCAAGGTATATTATATCCCAAGTTTGAAGAACATATTATTAGTCTTGGTCAAATGACATAAAAAGGTAGCAGAGTGGAGTTAGTCAGCTCGTTCATCAAGATATTCGACATAAATGGAGCCTTATAATAAAGGTAAAATGGTCGAAGAATCACCTGTATAAGATACTATTCGAAGACCATCAACACCTTCTAAAAGTATCTATTAGCATTGGTAACAAGAAATGGAAGAAGAAATCAGTGGGTCGGGAGAAAAATGAATCGAAAAAACAGAGCCAACAGAAAACTAGAGGCTACTTCAATTAGCAAAGAGTATGTTTCATCAAACTTGTCAATCTCAACCAAAGAAGCCTAGAGGCAGGCCTAAAAAGTAGGTTAAAAAACAAAGGAATACCTTACAAGATGATGAAGTTCGTACCTAAAGAGAGAAACAGAAGAAATTGCATGTTGAGGAATTATAATGCTCTATTCACACCAATAAAGAAATTGAAAAGTATAGTGCTTAAGGTTCTTTTTTTCTAAGAAACTCTCTTCTCAAATGGTTCTTACTGCTTTATTTATTTGTTTCAGTATATCTAGATCGAAGAGTCATAGATGGCATATGTTTAATTTTACTTTATCCACAGATTGCACCATACTGTGCATCTAAATGGGCAGTTGAGGGGTTAAGCAAATCTGTAGCAAAAGAATTGCCAGAAGGAATGGCAGTTGTGGCTTTAGATCCAGGCACCATAAACACAGACATGCTCGTTTCAGCTACTGGCAGTTCAGCTTCAAAATATCTAACACCTGAACGATGGTAGGTATGGATATCATCAAATCATATATTCAACACTGAAATTTTTATATAAATATATCCTTTTGTGTATACTTATACATTCATTTTTCATTGTAATAAGGGCTATAAAAGCAGCGACAATGATTCTTGATATCACTGCATCAGACAATGGAGCATCCCTCACAATGAAGGATCCAACCGAGTTGTACAAGCCATAATTTCTATGCCCTTAGATGATAATTAATTTGGTAAGCATTACGGATGGAATGTTTAGATATTAGTTAAATAAGAGTGATGAATGTATAAATGTGTAGAATGTAAATTTACTATGTGTAATATGAAATGCTTAAATATAGACACAAAATATTAGTTAAATTGATGAGTTGTAATTTGTGAGATATTGCAGTAGAAATTGTATTATTAGGATGTGTAGATGTATTTAGTTGTATTTACGATGGAGGTCAAATAAATTAATTGATTAAAGAGTTAATTGTAATGGCTTGCTTTTCAAGCCTTTTAATTACTTACTGATACATACTGACTCATGCATAAAAAACCCGACAATGCAACTAAGCCCAACTAACCGACCATGCAAAAGTAAACATTGAAAATGAGAGTAGTTATTTACAAACGAGGGAACGGGAACAAGATACAAAAATATATGCCTGGACAACCCAAGAAAATATAAGCAACGTACACTCCTTTATGACCGTAGAGCTCTCAAACACTGTCTCATCTCTCCTTGTATCCTTAACCCAATAGGTAACTACATGCTTTAATTTAGGCTTTAGGGAGTTATGGCCTAATTTCTTCTACTATCTGATTAAGTAGAGAGGGAACGAAGTACTGAGCAGATCTCTAGTCTGAAACTTACCCCTACGGGTATGTATAGGTTGTCCAACCTTTATGTTCTTTGACTTAAGTAGCTTGTTTTATCTATGTAATGGATGTCTGATGTTCAAAGTTTAGGCGCTACCTCATAATAACCTGGTGGTGTAGTATGGCATTTGCTAGCCTGAACATCATCCATGAGAGGTTAGGTGGCTCTCCTACAGAACCATCTAAAAACCCTAATCTGGGTGATGGACCCCTTAGTGATTGCCCGCTACTATGTTTACCTGTGTAGTTTCATGCCCTCTCTCAAAATGGGTTCTATTGGATAGGGTAGAGCATTTGGTCACTTAGACGTGCTACACTATTATATCTAAACTTTACTCGACGATACCTGTATTCTTATTGCTTGGCAGGGCACTACAAGTGTTAAGGGTGTACTAAAAAAGATAGGAGGCGAAGACTCTAGTGACACTGTCATGCTGCTAATGGCCTACGAATCTACTTTAATAATTCATGAGTGTCATAGTGGTTTACAAAGTCTCTAGGATGACTAAATGGCTTAGACACGGGCTCTCAACTCCAGGACACTCTGTGCTGACTCCTCAAGTCTAGCTTAGTCAGGAAGCACGAGGGTCTAGACCCATTAATCACCGCTAACGATCTTAAGATACTTAGTCTACTAGAGGTGTCTTGACTTAGGTCATCGTCTAACTCACTTGACTTTATTACCCTAGTCTTATCTCATCGTTGTTATCTACACTTAACATGGAGAGCACGCATTCAATCACCTAGAGCTAACATACTATATTTCATGCAAACGAACATACTCAATGGGGTGATAATTTTCATCAATTACTTGGAGCACAAATCACAAAATTTTCATCCTCTTCTCTAGCACAACGTAAGATTTAAAAACGAACATACTCAAGGACAATTTTGTAATTATTACATCAAATATGTTATTCTCATATCTAATTCGTTTTATGCTCTAAACATGCAGATTTATCTACCTAGGGCTAGGTTTATTTAACATGGACAAGCAATCCCTACCAGTAATGCTTAAGGAGAATCCAAATAGTTAATTACCTAGTTGGCTTGTGCTTTCTTGAGCTTGATTTTCTATTAAAAAGGTGCCCTTTTAAATTTCCTATTGTATGACCCAATTTACATTAAAATAAGGCAAGAAACTTCGAAGCAATACTTCTCTCGGTCTGGAAAAGGAGTTTGGGTGGTGGATTCACTCATCCAGACAAGAAAATCCGAGAACGGACAAAGTAAGGTTTCGAACTTCTTGTTTCGATTTTATCTAGATCTGAGGAGTTTCTTGAGCGTTAGATTTGGAGTTTTTGACCTAGCATATTAGTATGGAAACTGCGAAAATGAAATGATTAAGGAAAGCTAGATATGAAAGGTTTATTAAATCTGTTTTGATTAAGATTCTGATAAAGTATGTATGCATGAGAAGGATGGGAAACTTGTGAAATCTGCGCTTCGAGTGAAGATGAACATTATCTTCCCGTTGAGCATGTTTGTTAATATTGCATGAACTGTTGCGTGTGAACTTCTATGCATGATGATTGCTTGTGTTATCTTTCTTGTTGAATAAGAAGGAATTATGAGCGTAGATTAAGGTGCTTGTGACTAAGTAGCTAGACGAGATCCTAGATTGTGAGACCTCTAGAACACCGTGTATATAGACCCGCAAAATGATTACTGGCAGATCCAGAGCCCAGAATTCCAAACCCGATAGGGTTGTGAGACCAGACACGAGAATCCTAGAGATGCATGAATCCAAGTCTAAGCCACCAAGTTCCACCCTAGAAAGGATAATAGGACACCACGGTAACTGTAGGTAGCCCGCTAGAGTTGAGCAGTGTGGGTAGTGTCATTAGAACCTCCACTTCCCTCTCTGCTCCGATATCGTACCGTCGAGACAGAGCTTCGGTACGAAGATCATTGAGCTTGGCAGATCTGGATAGAGAAGTGTGACAGGTGCCCAGATCTAGTAGTGATAGCTAAGGGGTCTTCTGAACAGGACTCCTGGGCCGTAGAAACTCGTCCCTGAGCGATACGGGAAGGTGTTTGAGAACTGCACTGTCATAGAGGGGTGTTGTTCCGGAGCGTCAGTCCCTCGTCGATCTTTTAGAGTCCGTTTTCATATTTAGAATCTTTTGTATTTCACTTTATATTTGTAATTACTCTTGTAATAATTTGAAACAAATCTTTTCTCTATTTTTATATTTTCCCAATTCCTAAATTCTTAGAAAAGTGACTAAAAAGGTTTGTTTTGCAGAGATCAAATGATAGTGTTGAAGAGCTAGCAAGAGCGGTTGTCCAAAACAAACTTGTACCTGATATCATTGGTATTCCACTCCCTTTTTTCATATAATTTCGGACCTCATGCCCTCATGTGAAGGATGAAAACCATTTTTCTATTAAAAAAAAATCCAAATTGTAATTTATAATTTCAACTCATCTTTATTTTTATTTATTTTCTAGTTTAGCACGAATTATTATATAAAAGAGTCCATTTTTATTTTAATAATATTTTAAAAGAGTCGAATAAATTTTACTTTAATTTTATTTAAGAGTATGAATTTTGGAATTAAAAAAAATTGTGTCATTAGGTAATAGAAACAATTTATTTTGTGCTTCATAAATTTGGGTTTATGTAGTCTTAAGATTAAGAAAAGTATATAGTTCATCCATAAATTAAATTGTTAATACGAGCAAAAAGGAGTTAGAGAAACTAAAAATAAAAGTGTTTTTGTATAATAAACTTTATGTGCATAGAAATTTGGACGAGAAGAATTAGTAAGACACCTGGATGGATGGATGGATGGATGGAACAAGAGGATGAAGATCAACGAATCTCACTATTAGTCTCATTTTTTGTATTTATTGTCATCTAATTTGTCATAAAGAGTAAGTACGAATCATTTCTAGAATAGGCGCATGACACATCGGACACTTTCCTCTTGCTTCGACCAACTCTCTAGCACATTTTGAACATGTGCCATGTGCCCGCATCTATAGGTTGTAAATGAGAAAATATAAGTTAAATGAAACTTGGAACTAGAGAAAAACACACAAAAATGGTCTGAAAATTTGCTGGAATTACCTGTACAACAAAGCATCAATATGGTTATCACAACATATACAACAAATTCTTTTCCTTACTCGGTCCCATTTGGGTTCTTCATCGTGCAAACTGTCTTCAAATATCTCTGTTCACCGACATTATATGCAGTCAAGTCAGTTGAATGACAAGTGAAAGTGTAATAGCTCAAAAATAAATAAAGAAATAAACAAATAAAAATAATTATAAAAATAGTTAAAATAATAATAATAATAATAATTAATTAATTAAAAAAAAAATCTTTCCCCATTTTCTCTCCACTAATCTCTCATCTCTTCCCACAAATCTCTCCTCAACCCATTCTTACGCCAGAAAGTAACAGTTACTGCAAAAAGAAAAACAAAAACAAAAATTGTCAGATTTACTTGAGGAAAAAAAAAAAAAAAATGAGAAGGACCTTTACTGGGATTCACTGAGATTTACGTGAAGATAGATCTGATCAATAATGTATATATTAAATCTTCATTTTCTTTTATCCTATTTATTTTTAGAAATCACAACGAATTATAGTAGATCTTCATTGAAATTACAATGATCTAGTTTTGAGTTAGAAACTAAATGTCAATCATCTATACCATTCTAGTCAATCACGTAATATTAGATTAAATTTTTCAGTAGCCAAATGAATAGATTAAAGATAGAATAGCCAATAAAACTTCTGATAAGGAAAGATTTGGAAAGAGAGATCCGCTAGAAATTTGGAATGCATGAGAACAGAATTAAAACCGTAACAGATAAAAAAAAAGAAGATCAGTTAATTAAAAACCACAAACTAAATAACACTGAGATAAGGAAAGATTTGGAAAGAGAGATCCACTAGAAATTTTGAATGCATGAGAACAGAATTAAAACCGTAACAGATAAAAAAAAAAGAAGATCAGTTAATTAAAAACAAGAATAACTTGAAATAGCTGTGTATCTACTTTCTTATACAACAGAAACCATGAAAAATAAGATTTTTAATAAAAATATAATTATAGATATATTACATTTCAGACTTTTAACAATTGACCAATGTAAATTAGAGAAATAATGTTGTAGAGTTCAAACCTAAAACTAATGTCATGGACTCATATAGGTTGACTCGGATTTCAAGGGACGGAATCGAACTTTAATTAAAGATATATTTGTGACAACGACTTAAGCTAGCCAGGTAAATGATCTTACTATCGGCATGGTTATATTTTGATGTTGACACGTGCCCTATGGTTCCGCACGTGTCATATATATTGATAATGTGTGAATTGTCTGTGGATCGATGTGCTTCCTATATGTTATGTATATGTGAATTGTATGATAATAGTTACTATATGATGTGTTCAAGGATATGTTTGAGATAGGATACAAGAAGGATGCACAAAACGAAATATAACGATAGGAGTAAAATACGTTCACGAAACGTTAAGGTTAGGTTACATACCGGAGTGATATGAATAAGAGAGATTGATGGAAGAATACGGTTAGGTTACGGGTAAAAAGAGATATGTTTATGATAGATTGATAGAATGATAACGTTAGGTTAAGTTCTTGTGATGATATGACTAAGGTACGTTCACGTAATGATATGACTGTGATAGGTATAAGAATGTTAAGACTATGATAAGTTAGAGAATGATATGACTATGAAGTGTTTACGTTATTACTTGTTTATGATATGATACATTGTGATGAAATATGTCATGGTATGATGTGTATATGATGAAATGTTATGTTAAAAGCATAGAACGTTATGTTAGGTCTCTTAAATTGTGTGTACAACATGAATGACATGAAATTACAATAAATGACATGAAATATAACCCCGTTAGAATTATGTATGATTTGAGAACAGAAGAATGAGAAACGATATGATATGAATGATGAACGCTATCTGAAATGATATAAAAATGATATGATATGTACTTAATGCTAGCGAGGTTGTATTAAAGGATAATGAAATTGTAGAAGTAGTGGGGACCTCATGCCTTATGTGTGTTCATGCATCTAGGGGGATACCCCTATCCCATCACGAAGGTACGGACGCGTACATCCAATGGTAGGACAATGATCGTTATGCTTTGCATAGCGTTGCTGTGACGGTTACAAATTCTAACAGGTCCCGGCATAAGGGGCTCCTAAATATGCCCATCGGATAAGGAAAATGGTTCAGCGGTGTGCGAACTAGCTGGTGAGCCCATATTCGCACGTATGGGCTGTGTGTAAAGTATATGGTACATGTCTAAAATTACCCGTTAGGACTGCACCGTAGGAAAAACGAAACGAAACGAAACTGTAGGTCCCATCTTTACATTGCGTGTGATTGTTGTATAACCCCGATAGGGGGTCACTTATTGAGTATTCTAGAAATACTCAAGTCTCGTGCTGCTTTACTTTTTTAGATAAGGGCAAAGCACCCATGTGGCATCGACAACGACATCGTGACCTTGGGACCATGGCACTGTTGGGTTTTATGTCCTAAAACTCATAGTTTGTAAACAAAAACATATTTTATTTTCAATAAAGTTATTATGGTTGTTTATTCAGTAAAGATTGTTATTGAATAAAGTGAACTTTACGATTATTAATCTAAATCTAATAAACTAAGAACACTCTGACTATAGTATGATTACTTGAACTATATGTAGAGACATAAAAGTGGATCAAGTTCAAGTATATAGTCAAAATGATCTATAGTATGAGGATAAGGCTGAGTACCTTATCCTAGTGATATTATGGATACGGCTCACTTTTGTATATGATATAAACAATGTGATCACTAAATTGTACATGTGGAGACATGTGAGCGGGGGCGTCCTATGCAATGAGTATTACATAAGATCGGACCATGAAGAAAATCACTGTCCGATAAGTGCATCCACAAAGAGAGAGAGATGAAGTAAAGTTGATTGTTCTTTATGTGTAATAAATGTTGGAGCTTTGGTTTTTGTTTACCTACAGCTGCTATAAGGGTCTCTGAGTCTATGGGAGAAAATGATGTTGATGTCAAATCTCTTAAGGATGAGTTTTATGTCCAGAAATTTGAAAGGAGACAAAGAAATTGAAAGATTCTACGTCGGTTAGGGAAGAGAACGAACTATTCTTTATAAGGGTGTGGAAACCTCTCCCTAGTAAACACGTTTTAGAAACCTTAAAGGGAAGCTTGAAAGGGAAATCTCAAAGAAGATAATATATTTTAAGGGTGAGTTCGGGCGGTTACAAATGGTATGAGATCCTACATTGATTGGAGAGGAGAACAAAACATTTAAGGGTGTAGTTTTTAAACTTTGAGGGGAAGCCTGAAAAAGAAAGTAAAAAAAAGACCGTATGTGGTATAGATTTGGGTGGCTACAATAAGTTGGATAAAGAAAATAAAGAAAATAAAGAAAAAGAGAGAGGTGGTTGAAGTGCATACATGGCCTCCATTATAGGTGGTGACCCAGTGAGGCCTTGGAGACACCGTATAACTCATTGCAGTAATCTATGAAGTTTCCAAGCTCAAAACTGTATGCTGGAAACATAGTATCATTGCCTGTACTTAATTGCATCACCATTTCACTGCATCTCTGAGTTACACAAACAACACAAAAGCTTCTCAAAACGTCCTAAAAAATGAAAAGATTACCTGCTACCTCCTTCCCACATCGGTTTCAGTTTCATCTCTGGGCTGATTCTTGTAGCAGGATAGATTTCCTTTATAAGCAAACACCCCTGCAGCAATTCTGCAAACAATTCCACTTCCAGATGAAGGCTCCATCAGTGGCATCACAGATTCTAGTGACTGGATACCTTGGTGGGTGGTCGTATTGGGCTGCGACGGTATACATAGACCACAAGTAGTCTTTCAGCTGAGAGGAGTTCTTCAGAGGACTAAAACAAGAACGACCGATTTGAAGCACAAACTTCATTAAATTTGGATATGAGAAGCCATGAATTCTAATACCGGCAACTTTTGAACTCTTTGCTAAGAATGGAAAGGCCATCAGGCTTGGAAGCAATTGTTTCAATCTTGGACCAGGAATCCCGAATGGTTTCATAGCAACTTTCACTAACGTCCTACAAATTCATTCACATTTTTGTGTGTTTGATCTTACTCTGAAATCCTTAGTGGCAATGGAATAGTATGCATTATGCGGTGTCATATTGTCGAAGTAAAGGATTGGAGCTGAAGAAGCAAGAGCTCCAAGGGAAACATGAGGATATTTCAGACGAAACCATGCAGCCAAAAAACAAGTTATGTTATATAGAGTTTGAAGATTTTTGTAACCGCTAGCAGATATTGTTTGCTTAACGTCGTTAACCTCACGGTATTAAAACGCGTTTGCTAGAGAGAGGCTTCCACACCCTTATAGGAAATGTTGCGTCCCCCTCTCCAACCGATGTAGGATCTCACAATCCACCACTCTTGCTGGCTCAGCGTCCTCACTAACACACTACCCAATGTATGGCTCTGATACCATTTACAACAGCTCGAGGCCACCGCTAGTAGATATTGTACGTTTTTGGCCTGTTACATATCGCCGTTAGCCTCACGGTTTTAAAACGTGTCTTCTAGGGAGAGACTTCCACACCCTTATAAGAAAAGTTTCGTTCCCCTCTCCACCCGATTTGGGATCTCACAATCCACCCCTCTTGAAGACCCAGTGTCCTCGCTAGCACGCTACTCAGTGTCTAGCTCTTATACTATTTGTAACAACCCAAGGTCATCGCAGTAGATATTGTCCGTTTTGGCCCGTTATGCACCGTTATCAGCCTAACAGTTTTAAAACACATCTACTAGCGATTCGTTTCCACACCCTTATAAGAAATGCTTCATTCCCCTTTTCCAACCGACGTGAAATCTCACAAATTTAAACAATTACCGTCTTACTTCCACCATATGATCCACCGAGAACAATCACAGGAGAATCTTTAGCATGCAACTTCTTTTTAACATGTATAATAACATCAGCATAATCTGCTATTGCTTGAGCAGAGTTGAAATAGCCTAAAGTGCTTGCATTCTTCAATGCTACCTCCCTTGATCCAAAGGGTATCGATTTCCCATAATAACGA